ATCCTACTGTGTGTCGCAGCCGTGAAACAGCGTCCCGTGCGCAAGATTGACACGTCGAACGCGTTCCTCTACGCAATCGTCAACGCAATTATCTACGTTGAACAGCCGCATGCTTTTGAGGAAGACGGTGACGCCATCTGCCTCCTACGGAAGTCCCTGTACGGGATCAAGCAGGCGCCACGCCTTTGGCAGCAATATCTTCCCACTGTGCTCATCGAGCTCGGCTTCCAGCGCCTTCTGCACAATTAGGGGATGTACCGTCTTGAGTCCCACGGCAGTTTCAACTTGCTCAACGCCTACGTCGACGATTTGTTCTACACCGCGGACAACACAGAGCAGCTCAGCTGCTTCGAATACGGCAACAAAGAGAAGCTCGAGGGGACCATTGATCATAATGTCACTCAATTCCTCGACCTCAACGTCACTCAAACCGCTGACACGATCCACCTCGCTACCGCGAAATACGCCGAGACCCTCGCCAAGAAGTTCGGCATCGCTTGCGTCGGCATCACCACCCCATTTTGCATTCCTCCGCCTAACCACGAGCCCAACACCACTCCGCTCTCTCCGACCGACCATCGCCTCTATCACCAGCAGCTCGGTTGTCTACTCTTCGCCGCCGTCACATGCCGTCCGGACCTGTCCTATATCAACAGCCAGCTCGCCCAGCATCTGCGCCAACCTGAAGGGGAGAATATGCGGACCCGTGATGCGCCCTACAGTACTTCGTCTCTACGCCCAACGTCAACCTTAATTACAAGGCAAATCTAATGGCTAGTCTACAGATTACCAGCTACGTAGATGCTGCCCACACTTGGGACGCAAATGTGAGAAAAAAAAACGAGGAATTAATTGACTAGGAATGAGAAAGGTACAAGTATGAAACCCTAGAAAAGCTGTACCCCCTATCAGCTACCCCACTACAGCCTACACAGGCTATAGCATGTATGTCTGACAAACCCCCATAGGCAAAGTGGGGGAGAACACGGGGTCACAAGACCAGTCAAGCAAAGCAAAGTAAGCTCAGGGTGGATCACAACGTCACCACACATTCCGAGCACAAGTTCAAAGGCCACAAGGCCACTTCACATGCAGGACTATAAATCAAAGTGACCAAGCAAGACAGTGATCACAACCTAGCAAAGGTAAGCATGCAGAAGCAGGTATATATAGATCACAGTACAAGCAAAGTCAAGAGGTAAGCAAGTGAGGCCCGGTAGGCACAAGACCTAGTATAGTACAGAAACGCTGATGATCACAAGGCTGAAGTGCCTTGGTGAAGATATCAGCAGTGTTGGCCCGAGTGGCCACGTAAGCAAGACGAAGCTGACCACGCTGCTGCAACTCTCGGGCAAGGAAGTAGCGTAGAGCAATGTGCTTCGTTCTATGCTCCAGTCTGTGCTCCTGACACAAGGCCAGCATGGCCTTGTTGCTGACGTACTGAACTAGAGGAGAACGAGGAGCCTCTCCCAAGTCGGTCAGCAGGTAGGTGAGCCAGCGTAACTCCCGTGCAGCCATGGCCCCCGCGTGGATCTCAGCAACGCAACTAGAGCTGAGAATAGAGAACGAGCGGGTAGACCGCCACAAGACAGAGCCGGAACCAAGGCTGAAGGTGTAACCTTGTGACGACCACTGCGTGGCCAAGTCGTGAACCCAAGAAGCGTCTGCGTGACCAGTGAGGACAACTCGAGCCCATCCTCCAAGCACGAGCCCCATGCCCGACGTACTGCACAGCTAGCGCAACACCCTCTTTGCTGCAGCCATGTGCTCTGGTCGGTGTCTCCCTGGAGCAACATAGCGTGCCAAGATGCTAAGAGGGTATGCCAAGTCAGGCCGAGTGCAGGTCATCAGGTACCTGAGGCAGCCAACAAGCTCTGTGTACGGGCCATTTGGCTCTACGGACTCATCCAAAGGCAGAGCTGAGAGCGAGTGGCGAGTAGACAGAGGAGTGGCCTGAGGCAAGGAGTACGTGAAGTCAAAGTGCTGAAGGACCTGCTGCACCATGTGTGACTGAGTCAAGTTAATGGTACGCCGTGCTCTGTCCCGGGTGATCTACAAGCCAAGATAGCTGCGCAGTTCACCCAGGTCTGTGCACATGTGTCTCTTCTGCAACTCCGACTTCACGTGGGCAAGTCCCTTAGTGTCAGCAGTGGCAAAGACCAAGTCGTCGACGTACACGAGAATATAGAACGGCGGCAGTGAGGTGTCGGTGCGCAGAAACAGCGACGGGTCAGTAGTAGAAGGAGCAAACCCAAGAGCCACAAGCGTAGTCCTCAGTGTGTCGTGCCACTCACGGGGCGCCTGGCGAAGACTGTAGACTGAGGCTCCTGAGGCTCCACTGGGTACCAGGAGGAAACGACCCAGTGAAGCCAGGAGGGCGGCGCAGCCTGATCTCCTTGTGCAGGTCGCCCTGTAGGAAAGCAATGCTGAAGTCAAGAGAGTGAAGCTCGTAGTCACGCTGAGCAGCGACGTGCAGCAGAACCCAAAGAGTGGTCATCTTCGGGGTCGTGGAGAAGGTCTGGAAGAAGTCGACTCCCTGTCACTGACTAAAGCCTCGAGCAACGTAACGCGCCTTGAAGACTGGCGGAGAACCCGCTGGCCGACTAAAAATCCACATGCCACTGACGATGTTCGGCCCAAGAGGGGGAACCTCGTCGACGTAGGTGCTTGTGGACTTCCAGGATGCCGTCTCTCCGTCCATGGCTGACTGCCATTGATAGGAGTAGGGACCCTTTATCGCCTCTGCGTAAGAGCGCGGGGTCGGGAGGTCTAGTGCATCCGGATCTCCCTCAGGTGCAATCAGCATGGACACGAGATGAGGTACAGCGGCTGGAAGGCACTCAAAGTCCTCCTACCTGTCCTCAAGGACGTCCGTGCCAAGAGCACACTCATCCCCGACGGACGGAGGACAGACAAACTCAGACTCAGCAACAAGACTCGCAGCGTAGTCTATACAAGAGTGAGCAGCAAAGTCGAGAAGCTCAACAACTAAGGCAGACGCAGCAGTGGACTCAAAGGAAGGGTCAGTGACAACAGTGGTCAGGAGACGCGTGACAGTAGGACGAGCAGCACGAAGGGAGTCAGACTCTCGGTTAGCAAGGGTAGGAAGAGAGGACAGAGGAGGAGACGTCAGCGGGACACGCTGCGGAGTAGTGGACGGACGCAGAGCCATCTGGTGCGTCCCAGGGACACGCACGAGGACGCTGACGCGAACCACGACGACTATTGCGAGCAGCACAAACAGGCAACGCAGGACGAGACGCAGACTCACGACGCTCTGCAAGACCTTCAGTCGGACTAGTGTAAGGAGAAGGAGCAGGCAGTGGGGAGGCGGGCTGTAACAGTGACTGGGACTGGACAGGCAGTGGACACTCAAAGGAAGGAGCAGGACCAGTAGAAGGCGGAAGATAAAGAACATGCTAAAGGAGCGGAACTTAGTACGGCAGCGGCCGCGTAGCTTCTCCCGAACAAGCAGGGACAGCACCAACACCCCGAGTGGCAGTACCTCCAACTCCAACAGCACCACCAGCTCCAACAGCACTAGAAGCGCCAACTCCAGCACCCCCAGCAGCACCGGCTCCAGCAGCACCTCTAGCTCCAGCACCTCTAGCTCGAGCAAGACCACCAAAAGCCCCAGCAGCTCCAACAGCGCCAGGGCCAGGATCCCCAGCAGCACTGGGTCCAGTAGTACCGCCAGCTCCAGCACCTTCAGCAGCTCGACCCCCAGCAGCTCCGGTACCTTCAAGACGAGCACCTCCGGGACCAGTGGCTCCAGAACCCCCAGCAGCTCCAGCAGCAGCAAGACCTCCAGCGCCTGTAGCACCACCAACTCTAGCAGCACGACTCCAGCAGCGAACAAACCACTCGCGCAGCTACAGTGGAGAGAGTGGCTCCCGCCGGGACAAAGCACCCAAAGGACTTCCAGGCGGAGCACCTCCAGACTCCACAAAGGCAGGCTCAGCACCCTCAGGCTCCACACCCCGAGACTCAGCACCCCCAGGCTCAACACCCCCAGACTCAGCACCCCTAGGCTTAGCACGCTCAGGCTCAGCACCCCCAGACGTGGCACCCATAGGCTCAGCACCCCTAGCAGCACCAAAGTCAACAGCTTCCTTGACAGGCTCGACTGCGTCTACCTGGGACACACCTGACGGGGCAGGACCCTGAGGGGGGAGGGGGTCTACCGGGGGAGGACCTGGCGCGAGGAAGAGCGGCGGGGGGGGGAGGGGGGCAGTGCGGAAGGGAAAGAGACGGTAGTAAGGAACCAACTCGTCAAACGTGACGTCCTGAGAGGACAGAACACGGCACGAGGCGGGGTGGTAAAACTGCCAACCAAGCGCATCAGGGGGAAAGACAAGGAAGACGCAGAGAACAGCACGGGAGGACAGCTTGTCCGCAAACAAGTCGCCGATGACAGCTCGAGATCCCCAGACATGGAACGCGGACGCATCGCAAACACTCCCCGTCCACCGCAGAGTAGGTGTGGTCTCTGGCACGGAGACCCGGGGCTGGAGGTTGATCTGATGCGCCTCGTACTGAACCGCGAACGGCCACAGAAATGGGGAGCAGCCGCATGGATCATGGACGTACGAACGACGTCCATGACCATGCCAATGCGGCGCTCAGCAATCCCATTTTGCTGTGGAGAGGCCAGAAGCGTGAACGTCTGGCGGATGCCCTCCGCACGACAGAAGGCCCGCAGAAGGTCGGAGGAAAACTCTCCACCTCTGTCAGAGTGCACAAGCAGAACAGGAAGGTCCGAGCCGAAACTCTCGCTGAGCTGACGACGGGCAGCACGGATCCACTCGATCAGCACCTTAGTGACCTCACCCTTGCGCAGCAGGGAAAGGCTGTGGTGTAATGCGAGTAGTCGTCAATGACCAGCAGAAAGTAGCGCTCGTGACCCTGTCCTCGGACGCGGGCTGGGCCCCACACATCCATGTGAAGAGTCTGCAAGGGAGCCTCCGTGGGAGAAAACTCGGAGGAGTGAGGGGAGTGAACTAGTCAACCCAGGCATCCTGAAGGGCAGCTCCACTCACCAAGTTCGTGGAGAACGAGGGGAAAAGGAGGCCAGACAGAGAGCCAGACGGGAGCGCTGGGCACGGCAAGACTGTGGAGCAGTGAGCAAGGACCGGACCCCCAGAGGGGTCAGCCAAAGAGACTGCCACCGGCTGACTGAGCGGCGAGAGTGTGGTGCAGTCGCGAAAGAAGGAGCGGGAAGCACGTGAGTCAAGGGTGATAGTGTGTAAGGCTTGAGCCGACACGGTACCTAAGAGAGAAGACTCACCAGTACCTGGGGCAGCAGACTCACCAGCACCTGGAGAAGAAGACTCACCAGCACCTAGAGCAGCAGCCTCAATGCCCGGGTCGGGCGGAACACACAGGTAACAGTCACCCTCAGCACTAAAAGACACAGCATACATAGTAGCAAGGATAGCATCATAATCAAGATCAAAGATAGCAACCCCCGACTTAGGCAGATCACCCCAGCGAGGGATCTCAGAGGAGTCGGGAAACTGCGTACGCCAAGCGTCAGTCAGGCGGCCAAAGCAGCGCACTTTGGGGTGTGGTCTTCCACACGTCTCCCCACTACGGTTGCCGGTGCGGAGAACGTAATTGCAGGGACCGGCACCCCCAGACCTCTGACGCCCAGCGTACCACTCACGTAGCTGCTCGGGCGACAAGGTCTCTCGAGGGTGCTAAAACTGCTGGCGCTGACCACCGCCAAAGCCTCCCCGCTGCACAGCGCCACCCCGACCAGCACCACCGCCGCCGCCACCCCCACCGCCGCCGCCGCCACCGCCACCCAGCGATACCCATAGCTCCGACAAGGCGCATTGGACCGGTACATTTCGCCAACGCGGTCAGATTCCGGCTCGGATTGCCCTTCTCCACTCCCAAGAACTGTGACTGCGTGGACCACGTCGAAATCACGGACCCCCGCCTCCCAAATCACATCCTTCGCTGTGGCACCGGCAAGCATCGCATCAACACCCACAACGAGCTGCAGGATGCATGCATTAGCATGGCTCAGGATGCGGGATTCAGTGTCCACAACGAATCGGCTGTCCATTGTCCCATCGAGGAGGAGACGGCCGATTCTACCATGACCGACAGGAGCAGCGGGGCGGTTTGGGTGTGTGATGTAACTGTGACAGACCCCATCAGCACATGGGACCCGGAGGCGTAGAAAGGCAGAGGATGGGCGGCCAGAGAGCAGGCGGACAGAAAGATTCAAAAATATGCGAACATACCTGAGACAGTCGGCTTCTTTCCACTGGCGATGGAGACCTATGGTTGCCCGTGTGCAGAGGTCCCCGTCTTCCAGGAAACTCCTGGCAAACACGGCGGCTCAGCGCCACTTCAACGCCGATTCTAACTCCTATCATGCCACTAAGTTTCTGCATCAGTTCAGGCAGCGGTGGTCGGTTGCTCTTCAGAGAGCACCTCCGCCGCCTCCACCTCCACCACCGCTACCGAAGCCCCCACTCCCGCCACCACCCCCACCTCCACCCCCACCCCCTTTGCCCCCTAAATGTGTCATTCAATTTTCTCTGTGACAACCAAAGCGCGATCAAGATCGCGAACAAGCCAGGCTTCGCCAACCGCATGAAACACATCGCCATGCGTTACTTCTTCGTCAAGGACAAAATTGACAAGGGAAAGGTCCAGCTCACCTACTGCCCAACTAGCAAAACGGCAGCTGGCTTCTTGACGAAGAAACTCCCACGTCAGAAGTTCCTGTACTGCTCGGACCTGTGCGGAGTTGTTCAAAAGAGCCACGTGGCGCACCTCCAGGAACGAAGGGGGGTATTGGGATATGAAGGGATTAAGTATAGCATTCCCGTAGGTGCAGCTGTATCACACCCGTCGCAACACTCACGGCAGTATCGGATCAGCCTGTAACAAGTGCAGTATTGGATCAACAGTCACAAAGGTCAACTGTCGCTACTGTTGACCATCTGGACCGATTGACCCACCAGCGACAAATGGCAACAGGTGTAGCCGTGTGTAGAGTTACACGCAGCGATTCGGTAAGAAGAAGAAGAAGAAGAAGAAGAAGAAGAAGAAGAAGAAGAAGAAGAAGAAGAAGAAGAAGAAGAAGAAGAAGAAGAAGAAGAAGAAGAAGAAGAAGAAGAAGAAGAAGAAGAAGAAGAAGAAGAAGAAGAAGAAGAAGAAGAAGAAGAAGAAGAAGAAGAAGAAGAAGAAGAAGAAGAAGAAGAAGAAGAAGAAGAAGAAGAAGAAGATGATGATGAAGAAGAAGAAGAAGAAGAAGAAGAAGAAGAAGAAGAAGAAGAAGAAGAAGAAGAAGAAGAAGAAGAAGAAGAAGAAGAAGAAGAAGAAGAAGAAGAAGAAGAAGAAGAAGAAGAAGAAGAAGATGAAGAAGAAGAAGAAGAAGACTAGTCTAAGTCACTGTAGAACTGCCTGTGAAGCAGTTAAAATAAGGGAATATACCCCTTAGAGTACATGGCTAGCTAGACCTATTTATTGTGTGTATTTTATCATTTTAATCAATCCTGTCATTTACATCCACTATGCACAAGGTTCCTACCACAAGTCTTCCACTATCAGAACTCTCTATGGCAATCCTATTCTATCCAAGATCCTAACTCGAGCAAGTCAGACGATTTGAGGTATGTGCAAGGGGCGTGCCGTCTTGTGAACTAAAGCTGATCGTATCCGACTTTTTTGTGAAGTGCAGTGTTACAACCCGAAATTTGTTAACTGAAGGGGCTATGTTCGCTAATGGGAGTGGGCCCACTCCCACTTGGTGTCGACCGAAGGCCAAGAATAAGACACGTCGAACCGGCACTTCTCACATGAGACAACCTATCCCCTGCCATTTTTAAAGCCCAAGACCTGAATTACTCAATGGAAGTCAACGCTAAAAACTAGGTTTGGGAGGCAGGCACGGAGAGGTTTGGTTGGGTTTCGAGAGACTTTCACTCGCGAAACCAATTTGTGACAAAAGTTTCTCGCTTCCCATGATGGGTGGGGTCCTTCCCACAACCAGAAAAGCGCGTGCATACCTAGCTGTGCACAGTTTGAGATAGCACGCAGAGTATTAGGTATAGAGCATACCTGTAGACAGGGCAGGGCGTCGGCGTTCACTCAAAAGGGATCAGATGCGCCTTACGATGTGGGTGGCGCGGATTTCGATGATGACGCCCAAAGCTAGTGTTCGCTGGGTGAAGATTTTTGTGTAGAAATGCAGGTTATTGTGCAACTACTGCGTAGCGTAAACTCGCGGTGAAAATCGAATCACACCCGTTTGCCCAAGCGTGACAATCCCCTCGCCCTCGCCTTCCTTCCCCTAGGTCCTACGCGTCCGCTCTCTATCGCCCGCGTCGTCGCCATCGCTTCCGCAGCTCGTCGCGTTCGCGACCCCAGCCCGTCGCCTTCGATCCGCCCGTCGCCTTCACTTCCCCCCCCCCCCCCCCCCCCCCCGTCGCCTTTACTCCCCCCCCTCCCCCCTGCTTCCGTTGCCTTCATTTCCCCCTCCCATCGCCTTCGCTTCCCCCTCTCGTCGCCTTCACTTTCCCCCCTCCCGTTGCCTTCACTTCCCCTTCCCGTCGCCTTCTCTTCCCCCTCCCGTCGCCTTCATTTTCCCCTTCCGTCGCCTTCAGTTCTCACCCTCGATGCTTTCTATACCCCCTCCGGTCGCCTTCCCCACATGCCGCACTCACTTTCCCGCCCGTCACACTTGCTTCCCCACCCGTCGCCTTCAATTCCCCTCCCATTGCCTTTCGCTCTCTCCTACTCACTCTCTTTCGCCATGCTCACTCTCTTTCCCACTGCTCACTCTCTTCCCCCCTGCCCACTCTTTTCCCCACCCTTCACTCTCTCCTCTCCTGTTCAACCCCCTGTTCTCACCCCTCTTCCCCCCTTCACTCAGCCGTTACCCCCTGCTCAACCTCTTTCCATCTGCTCACTCTCTTCCCCCCTGCTCTCTCTCTTTCCCCCTGCTCACACTCATCGGAAAAATGTAAGAGGCGTTTTGGGTCGTAAACGCCTTCTTGAGCATCGTTTATGTTGTGGTTACCGTGATTGACCCCCACGGCAATAAACCACCAAGGGTATTGCCCTTTGTGATTGGAAAACGGGGGGGTGTCGGAACCAGCATATATCCCCGATTGTTTCAGCTACAGTGTTCGAGAGTTAACCGGGATTAATTGGGTTTGGGCGGTAGTTTACGACAGTTCGCGAATGGGGAAGGTTGAGTGGGAAACGAGCTGAGGGGCCAACCACGATCCACGTCGACCCCAATTTCTGGCGAGTTGGTGGTGGTAAACGGCTGCAGACGACCGTTTACGATCGTCCAAGTGGTGGCAGCCAAAAATCGTTGAGCGCAAATGTTACCACCTGTAACGTATCAGCACTACACATTCCTATAGAGTATTCCGAAACTGCTGTTCACTTATAATGTTTAAGATTTGGATTGTGTTTGTAACCAGTATGACGACGACCTATTACAGTCCAGTAATAACAATAGCAATAGCGATTCATAAATTTAAAAAAAATCGTCAATAACAATTAATTTCTTTTTGACGAGAAGTGAGAATGGAATGAATGAACTATGAACACCCCTCAAAGACGGGGGTGCGAGGGTCACCACGAGAGGCTCCTACAGCGACTATGCTCTTCTCTATCGCTAGGAGGGCCTTCTCGAGGAGGTCAGCGGTGAGAGTGGTGGGGCAAACAGAGAGGAAGTGGTCCCTGACTACACGGAGAGAGTCAGGGAGACGGGTGACTATGTAGTAGAGGGTGATGTACATGGGGGGGGGGGGTTCTTGGCGCAGAACTCAGCAGGAAGCGCAGCGCGGTAGCGAGTGTCACTAGTGCGGAGGTGCGTATTGAGGTCAGCAACAGTGGGAAAGGCAGCAAGGTCAGGGAAGAGGTATGGTAGCATGAGGCGGCTCAGTGCAGCAGTGGCAGGGGAAGAGTAGCGTGCAACTACAGCGTCGTACAAGGTCTGAGCACTCTTGTACTGGCTAAAGTGTGCACGCTCAGTGGTCGGTAAGTGGCGGCGCACAGCAAGGCGAGCAGCAGCGTCACGTGTTGCCCACTGTGAGCGAACAGTGGCGTCAGCATCAGCAGCAGGGGCAGGGGAGGCACCAGAAGTGGGGTCAAACAGGGAGAGGCCGTCTGCCCTATCGCACTGCACGAAAAGCTGCAGATCATCTACCCAAACCTCAAAGTCTACTGCCCGACCCTCAGCGTCAAAGGTGAGAACGCTAGGGGAAGCCATAACAGCAGTAGGCAGGGCAGTGCAATGGCAGAGACTGTGCTCTTACCAGGTAGGTGGAGCGATCGGGCTGCTCGGCGGCTCGGTTGTCAGGCGGCTCGGCTGCAGGGTGGCTCGGCTGCTGGGCGGCTCGGCTGCTGGGCGGCTCGGCTGCTGGGCGGCTCGGCTGCACGGTGCTGGGCGGCTCGGCTGTCGGGCGGCTCGGCTGCTGGGCGGCTCGGCTGCCGGGCGGCTCGGTTGCTGGGCGGCTCGGGCGGTCGGGCGGCTCAGCTGGCCGGCGGTTCGGCTGCTCGGCGCTGCAGGCGCTGGGAGGCGGGGTCGCAGGTGGCGGCGTAGCGGGGCCACGAAGGGGCCGTAGCGGAGCCTAAGCGGGGCCGTAGCGGGGCCGACGGGGCCGAAGCGGGGCCCAAGTGGGGCCGTAGAGGGGCCGACGGGGCCGAAGCGGGGCCGCGACAAGGCCGTAGCGGGGTTGTAGCGAGGCCGCAGCGGGGCCTAAGCGGGGCCGACGGGGCCGAAGCGAGGCCTGAGCGGGGCCGCGACGGGGCCGACGGGGCCTAAGCGGGGCCGACGGGGCCGTAGCGGGGCCTAAGCGGGGCCAACGGGGCCGACGGGGCTGTAGAGGGGCCTAAGCGGGGCCGTAGCGGGGCCGACGGGGCCTAAGCGGGGCCGTAGCGGAGCCGTAGCGGCCTAAGCGAGGCTGTAGAGGGCGGCTCGAGGGGCAGTAAGGGCAGCCAATAGGGGCCACTAAGGCGGCTCAAGGTGCTACTCGGGTTAGAAGCTAAGCGCGCTCCGGGCAGGAAAAAAAGTTCGTGGTGGGCCCTAGGCAGTATTCCCACTCGGGAACCTGCTCGATACCATGACGAGAAGTGAGAATGGAATGAATGAACTATGAAACAGTTGGGTACAAGTACTAACCCTAATTGGGTTGTACCCCTTATGGGCTACCCCACTACAACCTACACAAATGTATGAGCTATAATGTTCTGATACTTTTAGCTCAGTACAGAAACACACGATCCTAACCCACCATCTAGAACTTAGTGCAGAACTTATTTAATCATAACTTAGTACAAACTAATTGTTTCGCACTACAAAAAACGAATCTACACACCTACACAAAACCACTACATAAACACACGCTCCCACCCCTCCATCTATACAATGGTAACCACTTGAAGGGAGCTGCACAACCAAAGTGGCGGTGAGTGAGACGAAAACAAATCATGGAAGGCTTACAAGCACAGCCTTGGCGTATATGGAGTTATTGCGGAGATAACTACTACAACGGGAGCATCGAGTACTGGCTAGGCACGTGTGCTCGTGTGATGTCTGCGTTCGTTGGTCCTTAGACGTTTTCCTAGTGCTCACACTGCTTGCTAGTTCACGGAGCAATTTTGGCAAGAGTTTCACTAGAGAAGGTTGTCAATAATGGTACAATGAAGTTGGCAATGCAAGACTACATCAGAGCTAGCATTCAGGTTGGTCGACTGCCAGCACAGCATGGTCGACCGCGTTCCAGCACGACTTGGTCGACCACGCTACAGCAGTGCAAAGTCGACAGCTTGCCAACGCTGCAGGTTGACGGTGTGCCAGCATTGCTCACGCAGGACAGCAGTGCACCCGCTTTGCAGGTGCGCGCAGATGATTGGCATGCAAAGTCTCGTCACCTGCACAGCGCACACACCACGCCAACCTCGGGCTAGCGACTGCCTCTGATCCGCCACGACGACCTCGGGATACCACCATGGAGGTCGGTCTCGCCAACTTCGCCTGGGTGACCGTCGCACTCCTTCGCAGAACCTCGTCACCCAGGTATCCTGGTCGACCGGGCAACTATGTCGACCACTGCTCCTGTATGTGCTCGTCGACCTCCCAAGTCGACAACCACACCAGGTCGACCTCACCAGGTCGACCAGTCCTCCGGTCGACCAGATCCAGGTCGACGTCACTCCTGGTCGACCAGTGCAGTTGTCAGCTACCCAAGTCGGCGTCACCAGGTCGACGCCCCTTCTACGTCGGCGCCGACTTCCACACTGACCTCTTGAAGTTGGCGACCTCCCAAGTCGGCGACCTTGCAAGTCGGCTGTACCTTCCGTACACCCCACCACGAAGTCGGCTCCGCCCAAGCGTGGACGGGGCCAACACACAACTCCCGTTGACACTCCCCTGCCGCGTTCACGCTTGGCCCCCCCAAGTCCACTCGGCAGTACTCCTCGGAGAATAGCTCGTCGACGTGCACCCAACACACAGCACGTCGTCCACCGCACCAGCCATGCAAGAGGGCATGGCACCTAGTGCTGCACGTTGTCATCTTCGTCGCCCACGTCGGCCAAGCGCACCTGGCCGATGGCGACGGAGCACCGGTTGAAGGCCGGATAGTGCAGCGCCTTCGTCAGGAAGTCGGACGGCTGCTCAGTGGTCGGGATGTACCTCAGCGAGAACTTCCCGCGCTTCACCATGTGCTGCAGCCAGGCCCGTCGCCGCTCCATGTGCTTGAGGTTGCCCGTCAACCCCATGCCCTCGACGACTGTGATGGCCGACTTGTTGTCCACCCGAAGGACGGTCGGCTTCCCGGCATCCAGCTGCCGGAACTCTGCAAGGAGGAAGCGAAGTCGGCGTCCTTCCTTGCCGGCTTCGGTGGCTGCCACGTACTCCGACTCAGTCGATGACAACGTCGCACACTTGATGCGCTGGCTCGACCAGGAGACTGCGGCCCCTCCATAGACAAACACGTAGCCACCCGTGCTCGTCCTGTTCTGCTTGTCACCGGCGTCGTCGGCGTCCACGTAGCCGACCAGCTCCAGCGAATCAGGTCCACCGCCGAACTCCAGTGCGGTGTCGCGCGTATTGGCGAGGTAGGCGAGGCAGCGGTCGACCTCGCGCCAGTGCTGGTCGCTCCTCACCGTGAGGCCGCTCCCCAGCTTGCTGCAGGCGAAGGCGATGTCCGGACTCGTTGTCGTCGCCGCGAACTGCAGCGAGCCGACCTTCTGCCGGTACTCCTCTTCCTGCCGCTCCTGTGCCTCATCGTCATCGAACGTGAGCTCGGCGTAGGCGTCGACCGAGACCGGCGTCTTCGGGGTGCGCCCGGTCTGCTCCTCGTCGATGAAGCGCCTACGAAGCTTGTCGGCGTAGCCCTGCTGGTGCAGCCACAGCTTCCCCGCCGACCTGTCGCGGACGATCTCCAGCCCGAGGTACTTCTGCACCGGCGAGATCTCGCGCAGCTCGAAGGCGGCTTCCAGAAGCTCCTTCAGCTCCTTCAACATCGCGGCGCTACTGCTGGCGGCAAGTAGGTCGTCGACATAGACCAGCACCCAGCAGGCCACTCCGTCCTTTCCGTCCTTGAAGTAGAGAGCCTCGTCGACCTGGCTCTTCTTCCACCCGGCGCCGACCAGCACGTCATTGAGCGCCAAGTACCACAGCAGCGGCGACTGCTTTAGCCCGTACAGGCTCTTCAGCAGCTTGCACACCCGGCCGGTCCCGTCGTTGAAGTAGTCCGGCTGGGACATGTAGAGCACCCTGTCGAGCTTGCTCTGCAAGAAGGCGTTCTTCATGTCGAGCTGCATCAGGTTGAGGTTGAGGACGGCGACGATGCTGAGGAAGATCCTCAGCGTGACGTAGCTGCCCACCGGCGCGAACGTCTCGTCGTAGTCGGCGCCGTACACCTGCGTGAAGCCCTTCACAACCAGCCTCGCCTTCTCGCGCTCGACGGTGTCGTCGACGTGGTACTTCGTCGTCAACACCCACCGGTTCTTCATGACGTTCA